AGTCTGTTACTTCTTCACACAAATGTTGTAAAAGTGTTTTTTAAAAAACAAGCACACAAAGCTTAGTTTACAACTCTCTAAACCATTTGATGATAAGCAACATCACTTGTGTTAGAATAAAAAAAATCTTGAAGTTAGAAGGTTTGCAGGATAATATTTTTAAAGTTACCTTCATTTTTATGAACATTTTGTAGTCTAGTAAAATCTAAACCCATGACATGCAACATATCATTTACATTCTCTAAATTCTGTCTGTGTGACAAAGGAGTTTATTGAATTGTTGACCAAGCCCCATACAGTTTTATTGTTTTTTCAGTGCAGTGTATGTCAGAGATTTGGAGACATAAAGGACTATCCTAAACTTAAATGGGCTGAAGTGTACTGGTTTGGGGAGATACTAGAGCATTACTGGAAAGGAAGAGATGCTTGGGCTATTGTCATCTCCTGTAAGATTTCTTGATCTTACCAAACATTTCTGCTGCTGTCTGTTGCTGGCATGCCAGAATGCCTTACAGCATGGTGGTCTTTGCTGATAAAACCGATGGAGTTTGGTAGCGACAGCACATGCTGGTTCAGAATAATAATAATAAAGGCGGGCATGCAAGAAAGCCTTCGGTAAGCGAGGCACGGAGCCAGTCATTGTGGCAGTGTTGTTAAGTGCAGAAGAAATTGTATGGGGTGCTGGTGCGGAAGGTGTGGGGTGAAGAAAGCATGTCTGCCTTGGGGCTTATAAAGTGTGTCTAGGATCCTTGGCAAGCTTTAAAATTTGCTATTGTGGTGCCGCAGAGAGAAGGGAAGAGAGGAGATAGGGAGTTAGAAATTATTTCCATAACATCTATGAAATAGGGAGAAATGACGTGAGGAGTTGTGTAGGAGACAAATTACTTAGTGAGCATTAGTGTGTACTGTAAGCCTGACTGACAATGTATGAAGTGTTATCTGCCTTTACCTTTCCTTAATGATGTTTTAAGATGATCTTGTGCAAGTCTACAATTACATGGGGGGCAAAAGGATGTGAGGGAGTTGCCGGAAAGTAAATGCAATTCAGAATCATCAATATTCTTCAGTGTTTTTTTTCTTTCAGCAAAAGGATAGCAGCTGCAGGGGTGAACAGACATTTCTGGTAAACATCTGGTCATTGTTAATTTAGTTGCAACTCTGAGATACTAGAATACTATGTTTTGGACTACTTGGACTTTTATAGAAGATAAAGAAACTCTAATAAAAGTCCTGAGACCTTGAGGCCTTAGTTCAGAAGGTGCCGTTCTATACTTCTGCTCCCCACAGAAGGTTCTGGCTGTCCTTACAGTAGTGGAAATTACATAATTGAACTACTCATGCTTCTGTGTCAGGCCAGGCGCTCTAAGAGAAAAAATACTGCACCATAAGTCTTTGTGTACACTTAATAGAGAGTTATTTAAAGGTATCGAAAGCTTATGCCAACAAACCATTCATAAGAGATTGGCAGGGGAGGGTGCTACATTTCCTTAAAAGCTATATCCAGTATAAAAGTTGAGCCTGAAATTATAGACAAGCTTTCAACCTTGCAAATATAAGAAGACTTTATGTAGATTATGAAGCTGCTAATTTATTTTTGAGACTGTATATGGCCAGTCCTGTTTAAGCTGGATATGCCTGCCAATTTACTGCAGAACTGCAAAGATTGTCATAGAAATTGCTACAAGCTCAGCTAATTGAAAGTAACATTCTGCTGATAAAAATCGTTGAAATTTTCTGGTGGTTTTGAAAGAGCAGCACCTGTGTCTCTGATGGGCTTCCTTCTTTATAGAAGGATGTGGATATCCAGGTTTTTTACTGCAAGTCATTTATTCCACCAAAATGGTTTGACTCTGTGCCTTTGCATGGCTAAGATGTTTTGTGCATTTATAGTAGTTTTCTTGTAATGTTGTATTCATGGCCCATACAAGGAATGTGTTCAACACTTAGTAATTAGACAGCTGTTTTAAGCAATAATTTGGTTGGCTTTTGTAGCAGCTAAAACAATGGCTTCCCAAACCTGTCTGCAGCTTAAAATAAATGTAGGAGAATGTCATTAAGAAGCTTCACAGAGAGACTCTTAAGAGTAGTTTTGTTGTACAGCACCCATTCCTGGATTTAAAGCACATTTCTGGAAAGCCATATGGGATGCTGTATGGAGCAGAGGTAGCACAGATCTGAGCGTTCCCATGTCTGCTTGGAAGCAAGCAGTTGTTGCTACCTGGTGGCAAACACCCCCTTTTGCTACTAGTTGATGTGTGATTTGGCACTGTCTGGTCTAGTAGGATTATTGACGGCTGTGTGTTATTATAAAGGCACACTGCCTCTGTGTTGTTTAAAAAAAATAAAAAACCTCTTTGATCCTTGAAGAGTTCTGTGATGGCTGCTTGGGTAAAATTGATCAATCCTCGCCCTGGTTATCTGTGCTTGTAAACTATTGCTGTTGATTTTGCTTTGGTAAATTTTACTAGTGTGGTTGAGCCACCAAATAATGTTTCCAGTGTTTTTCCATATTGACTAAAGTAGTGAACCAACCACATCATGTTTGTTTCTCTTGTTCTGGGAGATTCTGCATACTCTTTACAAGTATGGCTGGTAAAGTTTTTAATGTATGTTTACATTTTAGCTAAAATCTGTATAGATTGGATGACAACAGGGCACACAATTGGGAGACCAGTGAGTAAATGATGATGATCACTATCAGAAACAATGAGGCAGCTAAGCAGTGCTGGTTGTGGCTTATAACTGCATATTGTGTTTTATAAAAGCAAGGAGGAGAGGCCTCACGTCTGGGAAGTATGTGTTTGAAGATTTCAGAAAGCTTTGAACAACCTACAAGCATACCTATATTACTTAGGTTGAATAATAGGGTGAATATTATGGGAATAAGTTTCCACAGCTTCTTGAGAAGAGACTGCTGTGTTTGTATGATGTGTCATGCTAACTTCCTGGTTTGTTCATCTAAGTTTATAGAGTACATACAGCAGTGTGGCAGACATTTAATGTTTTGTTTTGCTGCTTTTGCCTAATAACATAATGAAACTTAAATGACAGAATGAAGTCTGTCAGGTGGTTGCATGTGATGTTGGTGCTGGTTGTCATGTGTATTTTGTTTTCCTGTTTGAATTCTCTATGCTGAAATTTACACAAGTATAAATGCAAATCTATAAATGTAGAAGTACATTCCCTTCAGTTACAATAGAGGGCAGAATGTATTCTGTATCTTATGTCCAAAGTCAATTCACATGTTTTGTTAACTCTGGAATAATTTTTTTACATCCCCTCAGGTTTCTCTTTTACATGAGTTTAAAGCTTGAGCACTGTGGTATATGCCTACTGCATGAAAATCAAAACATGAAATTGGATGTTCTTTTTTATTAGTAGGGAGTAGTACTGTCAAAAAGAAATAAAACCTGAAGTTGATGGGACAAATTAATCAACTAGCAAATAGGTTGGTTAAAAACAATGACGACTTTCTTTTCTCCTCTGGAGTCTTGTTGTTGGTGACTATGGGCTATTAGTATGACAGTCTGGTCTTTTCCAAGTGATTGTTTCCTTTCAGAACTGTTGTTTGCTGTAACTTTATGCTGTCTCAGCATGTCTTTCTAAATGTCATCATGGCCAGTTTTCCACCTGTACTTGTTCCTGTTTGTAACATTTACTAGTACTACCCAATATTCTGAAATCACTTCTGAGATTAAAGTTAAGATTAGTTGAAACACTTTAGCATAGGAAATGACACTTTTGAGGAGTTGTAAAAAATATTTTTAACGTTTGATATTTTAGATATTCCTTTGAAATTTAATATTCATGTTTACTTTGTTGTTCTTATTTTTAGCCTGGTTTTTCTTACTTGTGTGAAGTCTTTATTTTTCCACAGACGTAAAATACGAAGTGGGGATGGTCAGCACCCAGGAAAAGCAAGAACTTGTTCGTAGCATTCAAGTTCATAGAGGAGCAAGAATTTTTTTTTTTGACGCAAAGCTTGTTAAGATTTAAATGGTGCAGGAGAAACTGACTTGAGTTTATGACAATGTATTTTATTTTTTTTACCTCAGGTCCGAGAAGATGTGTTAAACTCCTTGAATAACAACTTTCTACAAACACTAAACCAAGCATGGAATGATCATCAGACAGCAATGGTGATGATTAGAGACATTCTGATGTATATGGTGGGTATTCAGCTTTTTCACACACTTAACTTGATGCAAGAAATTGTCTTTTGACAACTGTAAACAAATGAGCTGGAGGGGTAAAAAGCAAGGCGTGCTTACCAGTCCTGTTCGTCAGACTACTGTCTGTCCCTTGTTTTGAATTCTCTGTGTGCGTGTAAGACTATTTACAGATGTGTGACAAATTATAGCTGGATTCTTCTTTCAGGTTATCTCATCATCACTTGAAAAATGCATCTGAAAAAAGGTTGGATTTTGTAATTCTTAAAATAAACTACTCAGACCCATTCTGGTAGGTTGTAGATGTTACTTGTGTTTTAGTTCACATAGTGGTGGCTTCTCACTGTGGAAAGCGTGATGGTGCAAAGCCTTCTTGGACTTCCAATGTAGCTGTTGTTCTTTAGGCTTAAGGGTTTGAAGAGGATGACTTCGCTTAGGTACAGTTTGCATCCTTGAATGTTAAGTTCTGTTTGAAGCCTTTGCTGTTCATACAGAACTTGGAGATGATAATAAGCATTGTACATAGATGAGAATGTGATCTTTGGTTGCATGGTTGTAATATTAAAAGAAAAAAGAAAAGCCGTTTTTGAAGAGAGACAACCTTACATTTTTGTGACTGGATTATATTATGCTTTAGGTAGTTGGTATATGTTTAAATTCCCAGAATGGTGGGCTTGCTCTGGGGATGTAGGAGAGTGTATTTTTGCATAGCTTCCAGCCAAAGGCTTTAACTTCAGAAGGAAAAGAAAATATGTGTTAAGACACTGTGAGGTTTTTTTATGTAAGATCCTTTTTTTCAAAAAAAGCTGTGCTGAAGATGCTACTTTATGCACTGTTAGACAGTGAAGGACAGATGATGATGGTACCCCACATTTATTTTCTTTCAAGAAAGAGGATTAGCTGAGATTGCACTTTGTCTATCTGCTGAACAACTGGTGTTAAGATCTTGTAGCTGTTAAAGATCTCAAGCTATGAAATTGAACCTATTTGTATTAGCAGTGAAGAAATACTAAGAGTTAAAGAATTTTGAGTAATTATTGTAGCCACATAGCTTAATTATTATTTTTTTAAATGGCCTTGGCTTTACTGGCTTTTGTGTTGTGGGATGGGGGGGGTTGTTTGTCTTTTAAGCTGGGAAAAGAACACATACCTGAAGATAGAGCCGGATAAAATGCCTTCACTGACACTTAATGATCTGTATTTCTTATCTTGCCAAAAGGAAGATTGAGAGATTGTTTTGAAGATACACTATCTTCAGTATGAGAAATCCTGGAACCTAGTCTGTTCGTGAAGGACAAATACAAATCAATTGCTCCTAGCTGCATCTGGGCAAATTCAAGAATAGTTAGCAATTAGAATAGTCTGCCAACTCAGAAATGTTAGAAGATGGAATCCAGAGCTTTCTAGGGGGAGTAGCTGTTGTGTTTTAGCCAGATACTATGTATTATTTCTGTACAGGAGGTGCTCGATGCTCCAAGTATGTAGGTGGTCAGAGTGGATAATGCAATGTTACCTGCTGATCCCTCAAACAGTATCAGAGAAAGATCGCTTATCAGCTATTCCTGGTTTTGTGTATTGACCAGTATATGGAAGACCAGGAAGTCCCCTCTTCGAGGAGGGGTTACATGCTTCAGTTAGCAATTCGGGGGGGTAGATGAGAGCTGTTTCCTAAGTAGTTCTTGTGCTCAGGAGAGCAGTGCCTTGACTTCTGTTTCAAGCTTGTGGATGCTGTTAGAACAGCCAGCCAGCCTTTTCTTTTTCACCAAATCTCCAGATAAGAGACCTGTAGCATTTCTACAAGTGCAAATTGGAGTTCATCGAGTTATATTTTAGATTCAGAACAGAATAATAAACAAATAAACTTGAATACCTCTGGTATATATGGTCTTCCATGTGATGTTTGACAGTTCCTAATTATTTCAAGTGGGTGTTCAGTTGAAGCCTCCACTTGACTAATTATTTGCTTCCTATAGACTTTTATTCTTGTACCAAAATGAGACCCAAAGAAATGGAAAAGACACATCTACAATAAAATGTATTTATAGCATAATGGTAAAAATACAATTTTTCTTTCAAAATGCTTATATAAACTTTTCAAACTGTAGTAGCACTGATGTCCGTTTGTTAAACAGCTATAATGTAACTTGTTTTCTGCAATCAGAAATTTAATCTTTATTAGATAGACCTATCTAATGCAAGGAGCTGATATAATGGGCAGACTCCCTCCTTTTTTTTTTTGACTTGGAGAGGCAGACAGATTGTCATTAGAAAATACATGCTTTTATTACAAATTAAAGTATAAGCTATGGTTTACAATGGGACTAGTCTCAAAAGATTTGCAGTTTCACGCTTGTCACTGGGATGTCCTGTTGAGGAAACTTCTAGTCTTGAGTATTTGTTCATTCAAAAAGCTTGAAAAAGCTGCTAGTACCACAAAATTATGAAGCAGAGGAACATCTGTCAAAAATGAGACCTGACTGCTCTTCAAAGAAACAATTTTCAAGAACTTCATAAAATAAGGAATTATTTGTTCTTTTATGACGTTGAGTCTGAATGAAATGTTACTTTTATAGTGATATGCTTAGGTCAGAAGTTGTTCATACCTTTTTATTCAAGCACAGCTAATGTAATTTACATTAAAATTATTTTATCTTAAAAAACAAGCACTGTATAAACTCAATCACTGGGCATTGTTAATTGATATGCTTGTGTTCCACCAGGAGAAGTATATGCAATGATAGTATGTTTGTAAATAAAGGATAACCCAGTCCTTCTCTTATTTTGTAGGCCATCCCAATTACTTACCCATCAGTTTCAGGAAAGGTATCTATTGGTACCCAACAAGCCACAGTCTGAAGTCAGTGAAAGTAAAACATTTAACATTCTCTTGAATTCTGATCTTATTATTTTTAAACTCTTGCTTCATCCTAGTGATCGTACATTTTAAACTAAACTGCATCTGTTTCAATGCTGTGTTTGTTTTCCAGCTTAGTTTCACCCTGTAGCTCCCATATGATCTAAGTAGAAATAAATACCTCTCCAACCCACCGTAATATTTCCTCTGTGTAATTTTACTGTTTCCAAAATAAAAATTGATTCCCGTAGATCATTTTTAGAAAGGTGTGTATTTTGTACAATGGGTCTGTGTATTGTTATGATACTTAATGATTAGAATACTTGCTGTTTGAGGTTTATGCCAGGATTTCATTTTATGTGCAGAACCTCTTCCACAAGACACTTGTAAAGCTTGCCTTATAGTTGCATTTTTTTTGAAAAAGTGTATGACCTTCTCATGTGTCATGGTTGCTATCTGGTAAATGTCTGCTTGGTTTCAGATCTGTTGTATAATGTAGTTCTAGTGTGAGGTATTGCAACCTGGAATTCCACACTAAAGGCAAATCTAACTTTCTTGAGAGATTTCAGTTTCCACAATTGAATTTCAAGTTTACATAGTTCCACTATATTTTGTAGTATATGTGCACTAGCTTTCCTGCTTTTGTTTTGCGTGTTTAGGCTACAGTAATCAGTGCCAGCATAGATGTAATACTCACTGTAAATTCATGGCACTGTCTGCAGCAAGCAGTGAGGTACCAAAGCAATGAAGTCATGTGCTAAGTAGTGTCTTCACTAAGTCGAGTGATGTACGAAGACATGTTGAAGTAGTGAAGTAATGTCCTGCATTTGGGCATGTCTGAAATTCAGTTTCACTTAGGGCTGCAGCGTAAGTAAGTATACCTGCAATAGTTCTGATTTAGCTACAGTTGTTTGGTCTTTTCTTCAAGCTAAATGAGTGTGAGTATTCTTGGAACGTCTTCTAGAAACCGGGCTAAACTGGATTCTGTGGTGTCCCTTCTTTACTACTTGTACTTGCTAAATTTAAAGCAACTTCAGGTATGCAAGCACAGCAGCAGTCACAGCCCTGGCTGCATTATAGCCATATGGGTAGTACCAGTTAAATGCTCTCAGAAGTGAACAATTACTTTTGCAAATAGAATTGTGGAGGGCAGAGCATTCCCTTCTCATCTCTGTGGTGCAGAAAGCCAGTCTCTTGACTTAGACCAGCGCTGACAGATCAGCTATGTGAGTTTTGACCTCTGGGCATATGACTACCATTGTTCATGGCTTATGCACAAGGTAGTAGGGAGAGGTGTTTTTATTTTCGGAACTAGGATCAAAGACACTTGCTCTCTGTATAAACACATCAGTGTCTGAAGTCTACATCATCCAGATGGTGCATCCATGTAAAGATGGGGAAAATGTGGCTGGTGAAATTTTAGAGTAGGTAACTTGCTTTAGTTGAGATCAGAACTATTCTGCAGTGTAAGCAGCGTTGTAGTTTATGAATAATTGCTGTCTGGAACCTCCACCCTTGTCTCCTGAGAGTTACTCTTACCTTTATGCACCTCCTTCTCCCCATGGTAAGTGATTGCTGTTCAGTAGCATGTAGCCTTGTCAGTCAAACCTGTTCCTAAATGAGGCTTCATGTCTCTAAGATTATTTTTTTTTTTAGGTTGGGAGAGTTTCCAGGAAACAGTAAAAGTGATATGTTACTAAGGGTAAGGAAATCAGCAGTATTGGAGACATTAATGCTGCTACTCTAATTTGGGTATCGTGGAATGGTCTGATGTACTAAAGAGGCATTGCTGTTACATTGAGAAGAGTTTCTAGTGCGGTTACTATTTCATTTCATAATGACAGTGTTTAGCACTGCCACAACAGAAGCTATGCAGATGAGTCATGACCATGGCTTTCATCCATTTTGATACCCAGCTGCCTGTGCTTCAGAGGCCTGGATATTCTTTGAAATAATATAGATGTATTCTTTTCTCCTCAAGTTCTAGACACTACTTTTTAATTTTCTTTCATCTCTTTGAAAGTGTATTTTGAGCTTGTCTTACTTTAGAATCGCGTTTACTTCTGTTCTTGATGCAAGTGTTTAAATAAGGGAGAAAAATAATAATCCTGTTTCTAAATAACAGGAAAAAGAGTAACATGTTCCAGAGATGTAGACCATCGTGTGTCACTAAACTGACTTCATGAGACCAATTAGTAAA